CCCTAAATCCCAAACACCCTAAACCCGGCCTCACAGTCGTCGAAGGGAAAGGCTCCCTCCTTCGCGGGCCGGCAGGCGCCGCCGGACTTCAGGTAAGCCTTCTCCTCGGCTCTAGCGCTCCTTTAGGGTTTAGGGTTTAGGGTTTAGGGTTTAGGGTTTAGGGTTTAGGGTTTAGGGTTTAGGGTTTTAGGGTTCAGGGTTTTCGGGTTTAGGGTTCCTTTAGGGCTTAGGGTTTTAGGGTTTAGGGTTTAGGGTTTAGGGTCTAGGGTTTAGGAGGCTTTCGTGCTTTGGGCTTAGGGTTCAGGGCTCCGTTAAGGATTTAGGGTTTGGGCTCAGGGTTGGGGGTTTAGGGTTGCGTGTTTAGGATGAAGGGGTACCCCTCACCACGAAAACTTACAATCCTGCAGCCCTAAATCCCAAAGCCTGAATTCCTGAAGCATCCGAATCGAACACTAAATAATTCGCCAGAGCGTCATCGGGTATATTCGGAGGCAGCTATATGGACTGTAGGGGATGTACGACAACATGAAGCTATGCCAAGACCGAGAAACCCAAACTCTAGACCTCGTGATGGGCATACTTGCACCAATTATTCGTGGAACCTCCGGAAGCCCTCTACAAAATCAGCAAAGCCGCTAAGAGACAAATTATGTGTATATATATATATATAACCCTGCAGAGGGACATGAAACCCCGAAAACAGTGTAAACCGTAGGCATAGAACCACTGCCCTCTATTGAAGACCAGTTTCCGACGTCTGACGCTTCAGCTTGTGCTTGCCTGGAAGCAGCGCAGGAGAACGGGGTAGGATACTCCAGCTTGGGGATCGGCTAAGGGTTCAGGGTTGGGGGTTAAGATACTAGTGCTGTGAACCTTGGTATCCTTGCTGTTCTAGCTGCGCCTGAAGTGAACATTGACTTTACGTCTTTACTCACCATCCCTAGAGTGGAACTCCATAACAACATGGCACGAGTACTCGTGAAGATGCCATTATGTAATGTAGGGCCTAAATGATTACCACTACTATTTCGAGTAAGGTATAATGGGCCCCAAAACCCTTTTCTTATTGTTAAGGCCTCTATGTTACCATAGCTATCACCACTACCCTCGGGGCTGCCTTTGGGAGCTGGATGAGTGACTACTTCACCCTCGAACCTGCAAACCCTAAACCCTAAAGTCCTAAAGTCTCAAGCCGCGAGCCCTAAAACCCTAGAATCGAAAACCCTGAACCGTAAACTGCAGAATCTAAAACCCTGAACCCTAAACTGTAGAATCTAAAACTCTGAACCCTAGAACCGGTGAATCTAAAACCGTCGGAACCCTAAACCGTAGTAGAATCGAAAACCCTGAACCCTAAACCGCAGAATCTAAGACCCTGAACCCTAAAAAAAGAGTGAAAGCCTCAACTGCACTAGGCCTGAATGCTTGCTGCACTGCGCTTTGGGATTCGTGCGCAGGGCGTCGGGCTTAAAGCAGCAAACCCTAAACCCTAAACCATCTAGATGACGGGCCAACCCCAAGAAGCCGGTGTCGCTAAGGCCGTTTTCGGATTTTGGGGGTAATGGTGTAGGGTTTAGGTTTTAGGGTTTAGGGGTGTGCTTTAGTATAGTTGTGGAGAGAGCAACCGGGTTCAGGGTTTGGCCGTTAATGTTTAGGTTCAGCGTCGCGGTTCGGGTTATGGTTCAGGATTTGGGCCCCAGGCCCTAAACCCTAAACCCCTAAAACCCTGAACCCTAAACCCCTAAACCCCAAACCCTAAACCCTCAACCCAAAACCCTAAGCCGCAAACCCTAAACCCTCAACCCCAAACCCTAAACCCTAAACCCCAAACCCTGAGCCCGACACCCCCAATGTCCAAAGCCCTAAACCTGGAGCCAGGCGGCAAGAACGAAGCCCCGACGACACAAACTCCCTACTTGGAGGTTCATGGCTAGTTCTAAGGGGGGGTTTAGGGTTTAGGGTTTAGGGTTTAGGTTCGTGGGTAGTTATAAGTGGTGTTATAAGTCCCACTAAATACGGGTTATCCGCCTCGAAACTCCTAACACCAAGAAGGCCTGATGAGGGCCTAGTGTTTTTAACCATGCTTAACAGGTTTTCGCAAGGTCTGGATCGGTTTTTGATAGAATTTGAAAAGGATATATTGAGGGTATTCGAAGGGTTCTAAGCGGGTTTATCTATTGTTTTACTATCGTTTGTGTCGGGTTGTCATCGGATTTCATGCGGCTTCTGTAGGGTCTCAAGAAAGCCTAAACCTTAAACCCTAAACCCGTAATTAAACCAAGAAGGCCTTCCTAAAGACCCTACAACATCCATAACAGCCCTATAAAACCTACTACCCCAACAACCCTAAAACCCTAAACCCTAAACCCGAAAACCCTAAACCTTAAGCCTTGAACCCTAAAACCCCTGAACCCTAAGGCCCTAGGCCCCAAAACCCAACTCCCTAAAACCCGAAAGCCCTAAAACCTTGAAACTTAAAACCCCAGAACACTAAACATTACCGCTCGCTGCCATGGCGCAGTGGAACCCTCCTGTTGCTCCGGAGAGCCACTCTGCTGGGCCTTAGTTTGTTTGGGATTAGGATCTAGGCTTTAGGGTTTAGGATTTAGGGTTCAGACTTTTGGGTTTAGGATTCAGGGTTCAGGCTTTAGGGTTTAGGATTTAGGGTTTAGGGTGTAGGATGGTTCAGGATTTAATGTAGGGTTAGGGTTCAGACTCAGCGCGGATGTAGATTTAGACCTAGAAACCCAACCCGCCCAAAGAATCCCATAACATTCAGAAAATGAAGAGTTTTCATATTACCATTTAACTGAACAAATAAAATATTACATGCAGTACTTATCTTTCCGTATATACAAAAGCAGCTGATCATTGTTACACAATCCCTAAACCCTAAACCCTATTTTTTAGACCCTAAACCCTATACCCTATTTTTAACCCTAAACCCTATACCCTATTTTTAACCCTAAACCCTATACCCTATTTTTAACCCTAAACCCTGAACCGTCTTTGATGTCTAACTCAGTTGGCCAACCTTCCGAGGCACATTGCGACTGAGTTGCATGACGCACGGCGACCATCGTTCGTAGTTCTATCCAGACATGATCTCGCCGAAAACAGGAAACCCTAAACCCTAAAACCCTAAAGCCTAAAGCCTAAACCCTAAACCCTAAACCCTAAACCCTAAACCCTAAACCCTAAAACCCTAAAGCCTAAGCCCTAAAACCCTCAACCCATAAGAGTTCATGGTTCAGGTTTTCCATGGTATCGACTCTCGGACGTACAGCATCCATAGACAAAGTCAGTGCGCTTTTGCGGCGAAAGCATAAGCCTCTCTGGCCTGAACCATGAACTCTTATGGCTTGAGGGTTTTTAGGGCTTAGGCTTTAGGGTTTAGGGTTTAGGGTTTAGGGTTTTAGGGTTTAGGGTTTCCTGTTGTCGGCGAAACCATGTCTGGACAGAATAAGAAACGCCACGCGCTCTGATTTTAGGGGCACAGGCCTGCCTCAACCCTAAACCCTAAACCCTAAACCCTACTACACCGTCCTGCATCGGAATATGAGCCATAAAGAACCATCTCCCCCGAAGCATGGAGCCCTGAACCAGACACCCACCTGTGATCGCGACGGCGCTCAACCCACAAAGCAGGGTTTAGGGTTCAGGCTTTAGGGTTTAGGGTTTAGGGGTTTAGGGTTCTCCCCGGAAGCAAGGACCCCTCAAAGTAGAACCCATACGCCTTAAAACCCTCAAGCGCGAACCCTGAATACCTAAACTCTGGAACAGCAACTCCCGTCGCCAATACATCCCAACCCTAAACCCTAAACCCAAACCCCTACCCTCAGCGCCCTGCATCGGTGGTCAGCGCCCGCGCACGCTGGAATCTTTGCACGCAGGATAGAGGCTGTGGGTCTAATTAGAGGATCATTGGACTTAGTTGGTATGGTTATAAGCACCTCAATCGTGGTTATAAGCATAGTTCCCCTAGTTGTAGCCCTAGTTACTAAGTCCCACGATCCTTTAAG